AACATGCGGATGAAGCCTTTACTTATTTATTACGTATAAACCACATAATTTTTATTTCGCCTTAATGAACTGATCTTTCCACCACACACAAACACGCTTACAGACATGTGCATGCTTTACCAAATAAATAATACTCTTAGAGCTATAAAATTGAGTTTGTTTTAGCAAAAAATGCATATGCACATACTTGTTAAATGAGAAACTAGATAGATAGATACACATGTGTATAATGGGATTAGATTTATATCTGGAATAAATAAATCAGTTCATGCAATTAGTGGTAATAATTTGTGGCTACCTGTATTACGAATACCACTGTTATACATGGCATGGAGTTATGTTATCATAACAGTTTGCCTTCAAGCCAAAAAGAACCAGGATTTGAATAATTGATTGATAAGACAATTCGATCTTGTTTTTCAAGTTATTTTTCTTGATATTTCTGGTTACAAATTAAGATGTAAAAATAAATTTTCAACTAATTATCAGCATGCACAACTAAAATTGTTAATTGTGATGGTTTGTTTGCATGAATACAGCATGCAAACGAAGGATTAGTGCATATAGAGCAGGTGGACATTTATCAGATTTGAAATCATAAAATCAACCACATCGTTCAAGTTGCTGATTTTTAGACAATAAATCTTACATCGTGCGGAAAAACGTGCGAGGACAATGTCGTAAAAATAAAAATATCGTCGATGTAAATATGTTTACGATCAAACCTAATTTTTTATGGCAATTCAAATCACCTCATACGATGTCAAGCTGCAAATCATAATCCAAATCGTTGCAAAAATTTATGGTGTTGTTGTACATGCTTATTTACATGCATACGAAGTTGGCGAGCAGCATCTGGGCTGAAATAAACATGAAATTGATACAGATTTGTGGATGGGGCGGAGTGAACTTAATTTTATATCGTGAACTGCTTTGTTTTTATGACTTTCAATCTCCACCCCATTTATCATCGCTTGGCAGGTTCAGAACAGGTCCTGCCCTCCTACCATTCAACAGCAATTCATTGCATAATCTAGATCCATATAATTATCAACTTCTTACCTAACCACTCCACAATATTAGAATCACAATCCAATGCAACTTTAACCTTAAAATAATAAATATGATGCATGCGTATTTTGATGTCTATTTAGGATCCTTATATAGTCTAAATAAATCAAAGCGTTGCACACAGAAATATGAAGACTTTTGTATTTATTTAGCTCTGAATATCCGGGAATAAAGATTTAAAGTGAAAACGAATGTAGAAATACATATTTTATTCTGAGACTCGATTACTCCGACGGGAATTGGTCATTGCTGGACAGCGTTATACGTATGTATAGGAGTTGGATGGAGGAATACATATGCAGTGGCACCAGCACAATGCTAGATATATCTTGGGTTGGGTAGGAAGTCCTAGAGAGGAAAACCATAATGTGTGATTAAATGAAAAAATGAGCGTCAAGTTAATAGACTGTGGAGTAAAATTTAAGAGACACTTGAGCCAGTGGGACATCAAAAAATTCTGGCTGGAAAATTGCAAGGCAGGAGTCTCATTAAATTAATCTTAATGGGCCGGTTGTCCCTTCAGATGAAACTTGTATCTTGCACACTAATAAACATAAAAATAATAATAAGGCTACGTTTACTTGATATTTGAGCAGAAGGAGCTCTGGTTCATCCATGATATCTGAATGGTGATCTAATACATAGAAAAGGTAGAGTAGATGTAATTTAATGGTCGTATAATATGGCGAGGAGACAGAATCCACCAAACCAAGCCAGCATGGAACCCCAAATGTCATCTTAAATTCTATCAGTTCTTTTGTGCTTTTATTTGTTCATAATTTTTTGGGTTAAACTCCTTCTGCTTCTGCCTTACTATTTACTACTACATGTACTGCCAACCACAGTCACATGCGTCTACGCCATACATAATTGTACGTACATCATACATATGCGCTCCACAACAAGGACTCGATTGAAACATGAGACGCAGTCAGTCTCAAAAATGTTGGTACTCTCAAGATGTTCAGGAATTCAGTTACACCTGAAAATGCAACACACACACATCATCAGAAGAGCTCAACATAACAATAATGTGTAATAAAGTTGGATGGGTAATCAAGCAGATAATTGAATGAGATGGGATTCTCGTACATAGCTTTTTGAATTATTTTGGACGGGACCATCATTTCTCAGGAGCCATTCATATTTTTTGCAAAATGACAACTGTGCAATATGTGGGGCAATCAACTCGGCTTAGGCGTGGAGCAAAATTTACGGAAATTTGTTCTTCGCGATGCTTCATTCATACATTAGATTGGTTCAAAATATTCACTGATTTTGCAATCAGAAAACACATTCAGAAGAAAAGAATACAATTGACTAAATATTTAATTTCTTCTGTCAATCTGTTTCACAACTAACAAAACAATTGCAAGATTTCTGTAAATAAGACGAGTCCTTTGGCTAATTGATGCTGATAACGTGGAGCCACTAAAAATGCTGACCAAGTGTTCAGTGATCTCGTAAGGTGGTTGATTGTGCAGTTAAAAATTTAAGTGCTTATTACAGAGCATATTATGAGCTGATGAAAGGGGAGTAAAACATGATTATTTTCTTCGAATTTCTTAAATGGGTACAATTTTTCATTTTTATTTTGTGAGTGGGATATTTCTCTTGAGGCGTTTCAACCAGATAAATTTTAATTTGTTAACTTACAAAGAGACAATCATTCTCAATTCTCCTTGTTCAACTTTTTCTTCTCGACGCTCTTTTGGGAGCTGGTCACGACTTGAAAGCTCAAACTATTCAAAAACAAGGCCTGGGCATGCACATTACTTGTTACAAGTGCAAACATTTCATTCTTCCACCAAGTCCGAATTCTTTGTTGGCATGATATGTTCCAATATGCTACGATTTTTTTGGTGTGGTGCACAGCAAAAGATACTGCAACACAATTCTAGTTTCAATCTTCATTCCTTAATTTTAAGCTAAAAAATAATCATCCTGTTCTTCCTAAATGCATGCATGTTATGAATATGCACTTCTTATTACATGAACAACTTGCTCATCTTTTCGGTATTTCCTCATTTCTCATCCCAATTCTAGTCTAGTCCTACACAAACCTATTTAGCTTCATAATAAGAAGACAGAAAATAATAACGCTGAATATGCAGGCAACTTTCCATTCGAAGTTCATCCAGCTTTTAATTTCGTAAGTGCGCATATTCCCTCGTTTTAATCCACTCCAAATACTGCACACAACCCACATCTCTTCGCCTATCCAGTCAATTTATGTATTTTATTCACCAATGCGTACCAATACATGGAAAGGTTGACGTGCTCTGAAAATCTACATTAAATGTTTTTCAATCGTATACTTCCAGTCCCTCATACTTGTAAATGTCAGTCGTATCGGGCACCATAAAACTATGATCAGAAGTGGTAACTTATTAAAATACGCATAGTTTTCTTGGAATAATTAGTAAACAATGATACTTAATTTTATCATACTGTTTAATTTCCGAAACCATTTGAGATCAGAGAGTGCCAGCATAGATAGCAGTAAATGGAGACCAATACAGAACATACATACATATACTTACATAATTAGTGGAACAGGCGATTCATGTTTGTACGTATGTGTCTCATAAGTGCCCACTGCATTCATAGAAGAGATGAGATGAGCGAGCAAAGTAAATCTCAGTCAGCTCACAATTTCCTCGTGTTACGCAAGGAGCGCATAATGCAGGAATGGAGTTGAGGAAGGTGGCCAACCCACCTGTCTCTCAGAATTCATAACGCTCATACTTCTTTCTTTTGAGTCCACTGTTTCCAATAAAACCAAGTCCATTTTTCAGTCTCTTTCCCACGGCCATAAAAATCTTATTTTGCCTTCTCAAAATCTGTAAAAGTGTATCATAGCCTGCCTTCGTCATGTTTAACTCATCATCACATCACATTACTACCATCACATTCTACATATCTTTAACCTCCAATGGTATTTATTCGCTAAGCATACACTCAAAACTATTTAAATTCTTGCGCACAAGAATTTCAGTTATGCCACTACAATTTATACGTATTCATGTTGGAGAATGATGTATGGAAGTGCTTCAGCTTGTACTTATAAAGTTATGTAGCTACATGTGTAAAGTTGATAAAATAAATCATTAAAGTTTCAATTTGGGTTGGACCAGTTAGAAATTCTGTTCGAATCATAATTAGGGACGAAACCAATTTAGAGAAATCCGGACCCGTTGTGTTACATAAATTGAGATTCCCAGGATTCAGGAACTTTACACATAGGCAAAAACATTCAAAGTGTTAGATTTGTGTGGTTATGAAATAGTTTGGTTTAAGCATTCATTGATGAGTCGGACCATATTTCACAGATTTTTATCAAACCAAGTTGTTTCAGTCAATGTAATTCTGTGCAATAATAATAATAATAACTGTAATAACTTTTGACAGGGACGAAACAGTTACTTCCACTGCTGCGGGAGCACCTTGCCTTCTTGTAACACCAGAAATTGAATGACCGTTTGAGAAAATAGGTGCAGAAATGGTTGGTAGAGACACAAACGTGTGACAATGTCTGTCGCAGTGGTGGAAACATGCAATGCCCATGCATGAGAGATGAATAGGAAATAATGAAAAGCAATAAAAGTATTTGCCTGTTGCACCCAAACCATCATAAAATGTTACGTCGATTGTGTGCATTAGCACTTGCAGGTATTTTTCTAATGAGTGAAACCGAGTTCAGCGAGTTCAGAGGGGAATAATTTAATGACTTTCTCACAACGAACTGCTTGTTCAGTCCAGTAACTTCTTTGTACAATTTTAGTGCTTTCTTTTCAAACCAAATATTGTATTTGGGTAGAGAGACCTACATCATCATGATACATATCTTGACTCTTCTTCTACTGTCCTCTCAATATGAATCTCTGAATGAGCCATCGGATGAATTAGTGATGAAATTGGTACAATGGTGCTAAAATAAGACCGTTCTCACCTTTGCTTCGAGTTTGAACTGGTTCTATTTGTGTTGCGTTTCACATTTTTAAACTAAATCAAACCAGCTTTTACTTTGCAAAAGCTTGAAAGGCGATTTTATTACTCTTGTTTTTCTACCTGTTCACAAAAATCATACACAAGGATTCCATATTAATATTGTCGCAAATACTTGCTCAAAACTTGGTTTCATCCAAGGAGCGGACTGGAGTAGATAATAAATAAATGTACATCGTAAATAATTATATAACTGAGAAAATAAGAGAGGGAAAATGAGATAGAGAGAAAAAATAATAAAAATGGTGACGCGTAAACTAAATTTTATCAGCTTCCATTGCCTTCATCAGCATGGCCTTCTCGAACTCCATCTTAAAATGTCAAAAACAAATGTTATGCATTAAATTGTAAAGCTTATCGATATCTATGAATTGAGTGATGAAAATGAACTCACTGCTTGTTCCTTCTTCAGTCTTTGCTCTTTCTCAACTACAAGAAATGACGAAGCATATGATTCGTACTGACAATCGTTCCATTTTAACAGCATTTTGCGTCGCAAAATCACTTCTGTTTTCAGATCCTTCATACGCGGATAGTGAAATCCAGCCTGTGGAATTGTGTCGAAGTTGGGGAGCAAGGCGTCCAGCAGCATGAAGGCATAGCGGTTGGCAATGTTCAGGGAACAGAACTCCGATCCATCAATAAGCTGTTTATAATTTGAAATAAGTACATACATATATAAAACCACCAGGATGTTTCAAATTATAAACTGGCGACATAATTTACATCTTACCATACCTCAAAATGATATGGACAAGCAAGTTGTTCATAATACGAATAATTGGATTTCGACAGCAAGGCGTCCACGTGATCTTCCTCCAGGAACAAACCTCTCTTGGCAATGAATGGATGTTGGTTGGGATATACGACCAAGCCACCGACAGTTTTGTTTTTCATATCCCATGCGGCCGTCATCCTAGCTTTGGCGTTGGACAATTCCCGGCAAGCCATAGCGTCAAGTTTTCCTTCAGCGTTGGTCTTTGCTTCATCGCAATTCTTGTCTGAATAAGCTTTAATTGACAGCATTTTCATCAGTGCATTGACGTTCAAAACTTCAAAGTCAGAACGGTCGAGTCCTAGATGTATTATATATTGTAATAATTAGTAGTCATTAAGTAAGTTAAATTTCAGGATTAGCGCTAAATATGTACATATATTACCTGCACATTGACAGAGCCACTCCAGGCACGCTTCAGTCACATCAATATCCTCCCGACGACAGAAAAGGACCTTCCTTCCAATAGTCTGAGAATGCCAAAAAATGCCGCAAATTAATATATTTATTAATGCACCTGATTATAATTTATGACCAACCATTTCCATGAAGGAATTAATACTATTTAGAATCCGCTTGCAATCTTGTAGTTCTGTACTAAAGTCGCACATTAAAATATGTTGCTTGTCACAGCTGGCTTTCACCTCATCGGAAACTCGAAACGACTTCTTCCCATCGTGGTCTGCCCCTGTGGATATATTAATAGAGGATTTGGTTATACCATTTGCCTGAAGTATAGAATAGAGACATTATAGTAATAAAAATCACCTGGGTCAATGAGAGTAGAAAAGTTTGCGAAAACTCCTTGCTTAATGCTCCAGGCAGAAAAGGATACTTCTGAAGGGAGTACACGAGTCCCATCCTTTGCCGACTTATTCCAATAATACGTGTTGAATTTGCAAATAACTATCGGCATCCCCGCTAAATTCCCATGGTCGGCATATTCGCTGAAGATTTTCGTCAAATCGGCAGCCATTTTCCTTGTGCGAGCCTCAGCATTTTGACGGACAAGACTGAATGAATAACAAATTAACGAGAATTAAAAAAAATATGAAGACAAATCTCCAATTATAAAATGGTTTTCCACTCACGTCATCATTCCAGGAAGATTGGATCCATCGTTTGATCCTTTCGCTTTCCTGGCATCATTGCCTTTCTTAGCTCTCTGTACATAAGGTTCTCTGTCCTTTGGTGTCATATTCTGGACGTAGTACAAATATTAAGTGAATAATGTGCCAGTAGATTGTACACAGTATGTTGAATAAATATTGAATAAATGCAGTCCTAAAATAGAAATATATAAACAAACCTGCCATTCCGGGCTGACCATGGCCACCACGGCTTGGACGTCTCGTTCGCCCCCCACGGCCCCCTGCTGGCCATCCTCGATCTCGAGCTTCTTCATTTTGTCCATGACAAAAATCCAGAACGGCGCCTTCTTCTTGTCACTCATCTTGACAATGGATAAATTGAAACCTGGAAATAAATATAAAGATTTCTAATCCGATGAGTCGTTTTGAAATTAATTAACTCAAAAGTCCGCAAATTAGTAATTGTTAATTATTTATTGACAAGATTATAGTGTTATTTAATTATTGGTACCCGCACGAGTTGTTCAGTATCGACTGTTGTTCCGCACTAATAAATCTGAAATGAGTATTTAGAGTTGTGAGTGACCCATTACTAAAATTAGTTCACGTACAGGATTGATCGAGTTCAGGAATGCGGAGCGAGCAAGCAGTGACAAGCGAACGTTGAAGCTGAATCGAGTAACGTAAAAATTCTCAATCTCGTCGATAAATTAATTCGCTCTAAAAATAATATTGTTCATCGCCTCGTTAGACTTTAAATCAGATGCAAAAAGGGTGATGTGTCACTGCGTATGTATGATGCTAACGATAAGGTTTCTACTAATTATAATAGACAATTAAAGCTATCATCTCATCCAATATCCTGATTGTTTGCTATCTTTTCTAAAAATTAATACATAGGTATGTATACTTTATTAGTTATTATCGCAATTATATATTTTCTAATTGGGTTTATCCAGCAGTTACTTGCATTTTACTACCTTCTTCAAATAGTCCATATTTATTCAGCAGGACACAATACGTGCTTATTTCTCTCAGCAATTTGCAGTGAGTTCAAAAGCCAATAATAAAAATACGCAAGTAATTACGGTGGAACCCTATTGCATCATGATGGCAATGATTTATTCGTGATGATGAATTGATGAGGAGCAAAGAGTAATAAGAAGTCGCATATTAATTAGAGGAGATTCTTCTGTGAGATTATTTTACCTTTTTGTGGTCTGAATAATAATGAGACAGGATGGGACACAAGTCATTAGATTTGGATTGTCAACATGGAATAAAAGAAGAGAGTTTCTTGATGATGACTGAACCAAATCAAGCCATGAAAACTCACCAACTGGAAATAGACTTTTTTTCTAGTCTCACCTTATTATTCATCATTATCATCGCTCCTAATTTCTTTCTTGAGTGAGATAAGGCAAAGCCAACTTCTGGTCTTAACCTGGAATGTCTCTGGGCATACAATTTTAAAGGCGACAACGACGACGCCACAAATGTCCGAGATTTATAAAACACCTTCTTTCCTGCAGACGAGACGTACTGCTCGGTTCAACAAAATTCAATGCAAGACTTTTTGATTCACTTATTTCAAAAGAAAATTTGGATTTATTCAGAGAGTTCATAGTAGCGAATGTAAAAGTAAAATGGGAGTGGAAGTAAGGCAGAGTCGTCGAGTGAAAGAAAAGGGTTCGTTTATTATTATCATTATAACCACCAAGCTTGCTGGCTTGTTTTTATTATGCTATGAAATTACAACGTCTCTTGCCGTATATTTATTTACATGCCTGCAATTGGTTTAAGAGCTATTTCCTGCAGTTGAACAATCCCTGATCTGAATTACTATAAAATCAAACAAGTACGCTGCTTGTTGGTCGTATATTAATGAAATATGTATGTAAATATCCTAGTACTTTTCCTAATTGGCAAAGTTGCAGGTAGTCCACTGCGATACGATTGGAAAAGAACAATTTAGATAATGGAATTGCCAATATTTAAAGCAATCAATCAATTCAATTACAATTATGTACTCTGTAATTACAGCTACTTCATTCTATTCATCTAAGCATACAATCTCGATCGTCTCGTGGAATTTGTAATATTGGTTCAGATTCATCAAGACAAAGCCGCACCGCAATCATGAGCTGAACCTGCTTTCCTGTAATATTTTCATCCTCATTATTGCCATATTATTAGCATACTATACACATATTTATATGTATGCATGCATCCGTGCATACCTTGTGCAGATCGATATTGTGATGGCCACGAATTAAAACAAGGAAAAATCGAGATCGACAAGGGTTTGATTGTAGGCAGGGCATATATGTGTGTGAGGCGGATGAAGTGTCAGAGTCGAAAACATTGTAGTCTTCGTAATAACAATAATAATGGAATAATTGCCTAATGGAACTAATAATTTAGCAATAGTTGCTCGCGCCCGAAATTTTAATCCACATCGCCGGGCAAATCACGATTTCTGGTCGGCAACTCACGACACAAGTATTCTGCAACACTTTTATTCAAAAATAATATTGCTCTACCTGTCAAATTATGCGCTCAGAATGACTGCATCATGTGTGTGCAAGCTCTTGTGACGGTTTTATAATGGCGTTGCCTCAAAACTAGTCGAGAGGTGCTTTTGAAGTTCACCTTTGTTTCACGACGCTGAACCAATTACAGGGTTTAAGTTGCTATTTACCACAGGGTAATTTAGATCCACAGGCATCTGTACTACTACTAAAAGCAAGAATGAATGATTGAGCCAAATTTTTGGACTTTATGTTCTGAGCATATCACTCGAACAGATAATTGCGTATAAAGACCTCCGGTCCTTAATTCAATGGTCTTCTTGGCTGCAACATGAGTGTTGTTTGCCGTACAAATGGTAGTGTATATTTTACACAATAAGGCTGCATGGACGATGATGAGCTCGATGCATGTATGCATGAAAGATATGAGCAATAACAACAAATGAACGGGTTTTCTTCATGACTCGAAAGTTTGAAGGAAAGGAGATCAGCCGTCCCGACAGACAGAATAAAAAAGAGCTAATACAGATACCCTTGTGTATATATGTATGCAAGTATATGCTGTAAAATGATTGTATATGTATGTACAATGGTACTCATCATTTTTTAAGCGTACGGATAGATCGATTCAGATCTCGGTGTAGCGTTATTGGTGTACATAGATAAAAAACCAAATTAGTAGAAAGATCACCCTCCCAATTTTCCGTCCACCTTGTAATCATCTCCACTTTAACGGAATCGACATGATCTTTTACCGACACTTTAACCATACTCGTTCATAACTATTGCATATTAGGAGGAAACCACGACTGAAAATACAAACTATGTATGCATGCATGAGCGTCTTCTTTGGTTGTTTGGAGTCATTTAGAAATTGCATATACTTACATTTGTGTAGAAAAAAGTGTGGATTCTTTGGCTGGTCATTATTAAACCAGTCTGATCCTTGATCTTTTTCTTTGGGCTTACTTATTCTTAAAAGTTTTGGAGGAAATTATAGAAAATTTAATACAAGCGGTATGCAAAGTATGCTTTGTTGCAGCGAAGCATGGAGCAAAAAAGTACTTACTTGAACCGTTTGGCAATTTGTTTACAATTACAACATTACACGTACATACAAATCGTAATCATCCGAGTTAAGAACAACCGAACGAAACAATTCGCTTTATTTCTTGCACAAGAGATCCGAAAGAGCTTTTTTCATGATTGGTCGGACACCTACATATACCGTCCTCGTTTGTCTCGATTCGAGATTATTCATCTCCCCCACTGCGACAAAAACAATAGGTTTGTGTCTTTTACTCTCATATTTTCCCGCAGCTCGGTGCATATTAAAATGCATATAAATATGCTCCGGCATGGGCACGCTATTTATTACTATTACCATATTATGTGTACGTAAATGTTGTAATCACGAAAAGTCTATATGATACACAGAGAGAAACAATGTATCGTTGATTGAGAGATTTACACGAACCAAATTGGTACACACACGGAGAGATCAAGCATTTGTGTACATTGTTCGTTTATGTATCTTTGTGGTGGTGGAACTACGCAAGCAACATGATTTACAAAACCGTCATCACTCAAAAAGTAAATTGGTTCAGGTTTAATAATGCTCTAAAAATTGGCCAGAGTGAGAAGCTAAAACCACAAAAATTGCGGTTTCTCACAATATCTACATAGTCTCATATGTATTTTGTTATACATGTAGAGGAAAATGGGGCTGAATTATCACCTTCTTTATGCCATGTCCTTTTATCAGACTTTTGGAGGCGTGAAATTAGTTCTGTTTTATGTTTTTCACTTTAAGGAAAATTGACAGCTCCGTTTTTCCTTTCCTATTGCAAGAATAAGTATGCGAGTAAATTTTGAATGAATATATGAAGCAAAGTGAATCAAATTTGGAAGGAAAGTTAAGCTCCAATTGAATATTATTCATGGCTCGATTCAAGTAAAGTATTCAAAGCTTCAGACAAGTTGTTAAGTCGATTTGGTTTGCTCGACTTGTGTGCTACACTTTTATACATATTTTTTTTTGTTAAATAAAAGTTGGTGGACGGACCTGTAATTTTCATATTTTTTTATTCTTTGCCGACATCAAGTAAATTGAAAGGGATGCTTGTCATCGTGCTTGGGCTCCACTTTCCTGATTCTGTAAGATTTGCCCAACGCCTCGTCATCCTCGTTTTCATGTCCACATAGAACTAAATGTGTCCTGTTTCTCCATTATGCTTGATGCCCCATACAAGTAGAAAATCATTATTATTATTAGATCGGCCTACGTCCAGTTGCTTTGGATTTGATTTATGGATCTAATGCTGTAATATGTGAACTACTAGAACCGGATACTTTGACCATTTCAAGTTTTATAATAAATAAACTTGAATCAATCATAAATATAAATCATATATTTATTACAGAATCGGTACAACCGTTCAATTCAATTCATTCTCTTAACTTGAAAATGGGTTGTGATCTCGGCTAATGTTGTGTGTATTTATCTCCTTCTCGTCCTTTTGCTTGGCCCATCTGCTGTTCCCTTTTCTGTGATCCGGATTGATTCATTTTTTATGTGAATATTTTGTTCGCAAGCCATTAAACCACACGTAATCCGGGTACTAAAACACATTAGCTTTACACTTTTAAACCCTTTCAATGTCTTAATTCCTTTATAATAAAGACGACGGAGCGACATGTGAGGACGACTCTCGTTTCAAGCACTTATTATTTCTGCTCATCGTTCACTCCTCTTCTCCTTCACCACAGAAATTATTCACAACATTATTTCCCACAATAGTGATATAGAAAACGTCACATGTGCAACTTTGTCTGATTGAGATTCCATTATTGTTCACCTTCCCATCCTATGTACGTACACACATATTTCCGCAGCGGCAATGAGCACCATTAAGCACTTCAGATGCAGAAGGTCTTCTTTTCATCGGACAAAAGACCTCGAAAGGTGCTCCAGAATTTAATGTCTTTAAGCAAAAGTTTAATCCGCATCTCAACCTCGTACAACATCATCGCTCGGAAATATAGAACTAGATTACCCCTTTGTCACTATTCTTCCACCACCACCACATGGAGAAAAGGAAAGGATTAGCTGTTTCCAAAATATGTTTTATGTTTTTAAATTCAAAAAATCAAATTTTTATGGTAGAATTCAGCATTGTGTTCTGCGGCCCGGTCACTGTGTTTGCTCATAATGCATGGTCACCTTTTCATAAAAGTGTCCAATGAAGCTGTGAAACATAAAGCAGAAAACAAATGCAAATCCAGCTAATGCCACCGTTTGTAATCCCTGCATGCACATTAAAAGTTGGATGGATAGTTCCGCTCCCCTTATTTATACATTCTCACTTGCCTTCCAGTCCACTTTCGAGTGCGGAAAAATCTCATGAATAGTTCACACTGCGAACAATACCGACATCAACATGGCTAATCCCTATAATCCTTAGTTTTAATATAAGTAATTCCAAACAGGCCAGGCGACAATATGATGTTTGCTGAATCTATCCATAGATTCATATAATTTGCCCACCACTATTTCATATATTGGGTTTCCTTTCACGGCTGAGGGTTTGGTCCTTTGGAACTTTGACCGTCCTTTCGTTGTGGATTTGGTGCTGTTTAAACCTATGGACGAGGAATTTTTTCTTCACTGATGCAGCCCTACATAAATAGTCGGCTTAGGAAGATACACTAAATTACGAGGAATATGTCAATAAAATCAAAGCTTCCCTGACATGTAATCTCAATCCTTTAAATTTTATAGGAATCAGTGACGTATCAACGGTTTTCAAATGTTCACGTTTTTCGGCCAGATTCGACAACCAGCCACTGCTCCATTTGGATTATTCTTCTGATCCTTATCAAAGTATTGGAGAATAAGGAGCCCATTGTTTGGCTGAATGCCAGAAAGCAAGGTACAGCAATTAGGTGAACCCCTTTAGCGTGCAGTTCATTCATGAAACGAGAACTCGGTCCACAAGCGTTCGCATGTATGTACCAGCAACCTTTGTGGTCAGATGTTATCGGGATTTACCAGTAATCGGATATATAAATTGAAACGAGAACGAGTTCAGGCGGAAGATGAATGAGTCGAATCATTCACTTTGCTCTGGTCGGCCTCATTCACAACAAACAACACAAAGCAATTGCAATTGATCTCTAAATATTTACACCTCTCGGCCTGTCAGACACACACGACACGAGG